ATGATCCCGGAGCACACGTTTATCTCCTGTTCTCACCCTGCTGTCCTCACCCTGCTGTTCTCACCCTGCTGTTCTCACCCTGCTGTTCTCACCCTGCTGTTCTCACCCTGCTGTCCTCACCCTGCTGTTCTCACCCTGCTGTTCTCACCCTGCTGTTCTCACCCTGCTGTTCTCACCCTGCTGTCCTCACCCTGCTGTTCTCACCCTGCTGTTCTCACCCTGCTGTTCTCACCCTGCTGTTCTCACCCTGCTGTTCTCACCCTGCTGTTCTCACCCTGCTGTTCTCACCCTGCTGTTCTCACCCTGCTGTCCTCACCCTGCTGTTCTCACCCTGCTGTCCTCATCCTGCTGTTCTCACCCTGCTGTTCTCACCCTGCTGTCCTCACCCTGCTGTTCTCACCCTGCTGTCCTCATCCTGCTGTCCTCATCCTGCTGTCCTCATCCTGCTGTCCTCATCCTGCTGTCCTCATCCCACCAGAAAAACACCACGTCAACACCAGGGTCCACCATAGGCACAGATCAGTCAGTGCGATCCTCAGCCACTGCGCAGGCGCATCAGGCCAGACGCAAGCAATCCACCCAGAGCGCATCGACCATAGGACAAGTAATCACCAAATCAACTTTTTTGATATATAAAATATGTTTTTTACCTGCTCTCTTCATGTCCTGGTCAATTTATGGACAGTTTAGTGCAAATTAGACAAAATCTCACTTTTGACCCCTAAACTCAGAGACTGCAAATATTAACGAACACAGTCATGTGTCTCTCTCATAGACTGTATATTGTATCTCTCCTGTTCAAACTAATGTGCCACCACTTTCTCCGTCTATGGGCTTTTTCAAAATGGCTGCAGGGGCTGGAAAATGTGAAAAAACGCATTTGCGCATGTGTTTGCTGCACGAGCTGAACAGTGCATTCAAAAGTCCACAGCGACTAAACTAGACTGGTCCAAAATAATACGCTCCCATCAGCATTGACACACACGTGGAACCAACTTTTGGACCGTCCTGTAAAGCTGTTTTTGAGACGTAAGAAGTTGCTATACATTAGCATTGAATAATTCTTATTCCTGGTCCACCCCCACAGGCCCGGAGTGGCATTGCAGTCAGTGCACGTCATTTTGGACATTTTTGAGCCAGGACGCGCCCATACAAGTCAATACAAGACAATTTATTCTTGTATTTCCCTAAATCACAACAACATCATCTCAGAGACTTCACAAAACCATTGAAATCACCAACACAGATCAGAGAATCAACAGTTAAGACACAAGAAATGCAATAAATACACAAGAATGTATCCGTTCTTATCCAATCAGTCTTTTGTCAACTCCAAATCAGAGGGAAAGGGCCTCTGAGAGTCATTGGAGAAGGCAGAGCTGTGTTACGGCAATGACAGGAATCAGAACCGCAGAGAATGTTAATGTTTTTAAGAGCAGGCTCAAGACACACCTTAGTTTCAATCTGTGTTAGTGCGGCAGAATCGGGTCGGACCGGTCCAGGATGTGAATTATTCCTCTGTTTAATCTTTTATTCATAATTCCAGGGTTCTCGACTTGCCGCTCAGTCTCACCTCTGGCCATGATCTTTGGGGAATGACAAAAAGGACCAGATTACAGATGAGAAGGAAGTCTGTGGGCCATTAATGCTGCCCCCGGGACCCAGCAATGGGTAAAGCAGAAGAAAGAAGATGGACGATCACTATTACAATACTTTTTTTAATTACAACAGTATTTATTACATCATCAATTTTTTATGATGAGCTTAGAATTTGTTCATCCTAAAACACATCATATTTATTATTTTTATTAATTATTATTGTTAATATTTCTTGTGCTAGTCCTTTTTCTCTAAATTCTCAATATTCAACTTTGTATTGTATTTCTTTAATATCCCCAGTGTTTGCTCTGACTGTGGAGGTCTGGGGCCTCCTCTCTCCTCTGGGTCCTGTGGGGTCTGGGGCCTCCTCTCTCCTCTGGGTCCTGTGGGGTCTGGGGCCTCCTCTCTCCCCTGGGTCCTGTGGGGTCTGGGGCCTCCTCTCTCCTCTGGGTCCTGTGGGGTCTGGGGCCTCCTCTCTCCTCTGGGTCCTGTGGGGTCTGGGGCCTCCTCTCTCCTCTGGGTCCTGTGGGGTCTGGGGCCTCCTCTCTCCTCTGGGTCCTGTGGGGTCTGGGGCCTCCTCTCTCCTCTGGGTCCTGTGGGGTCTGGGGCCTCCTCTCTCCTCTGGGTCCTGTGGGGTCTGGGGCCTCCTCTCTCCTCTGGGTCCCGTGGGGTCTGGGGCCTCCTCTCTCCTCTGGGTCCTGTGGGGTCTGGGGCCTCCTCTCTCCTCTGGGTCCTGTGGGGTCTGGGGCCTCCTCTCTCCCCTGGGTCCTGTGGGGTCTGGGGCCTCCTCTCTCCTCTGGGTCCTGTGGGGTCTGGGGCCTCCTCTCTCCTCTGGGTCCTGTGGGGTCTGGGGCCTCCTCTCTCCTCTGGGTCCTGTGGGGTCTGGGGCCTCCTCTCTCCTCTGGGTCCTGTGGGGTCTGGGGCCTCCTCTCTCCTCTGGGTCCTGTGGGGTCTGGGGCCTCCTCTCTCCCCTGGGTCCTGTGGGGTCTGGGGCCTCCTCTTTCCTCTGGGTCCTGTGGAAGTCTGGGGCCTCCTCTCTCCTCTGGGTCCTGTGGGGTCTGGGGCCTCCTCTCTCCTCTGGGTCCTGTGGGGTCTGGGGCCTCCTCTCTCCTCTGGGTCCTGTGGGGTCTGGGGCCTCCTCTCTCCTCTGGGTCCTGTGGGGTCTGGGGCCTCCTCTCTCCTCTGGGTCCCGTGGGGTCTGGGGCCTCCTCGGTCGCTGAGATGCAGGACATCTGGCTATGCTAACAGCTTCTTTCCACAGGCTGTTAGGTGCCTAAACAGAGCACTTTAATTCCTGCTTTTACCCCTTGTATCGTTTTGTTGATCGGTGCCACAGTGTCAGCTGTTTTTTTATTATTTTATATTCAGTGTTTGTGTATTTTATATTACATTGTATCGTGCTTTTATTCTGTCGGTGCACACAGAGTACCTTTCTTTGCAAATGTATTCCAATGTAGTTTTTATACTGCACATGGCCAATAAATGAATCTGAATCTGAATCTGAGAGGACAAAACACACAATAGTCATTTAACAATACTTTATTTTTATGAATGATTACTTTGATAAACTCCCAAACGACGCACACTTCATATGAAACGGTTACAAAACAGTTCCATAAACAGTTCCATGACAGGCCTCTGCATTAGCCGTGTTGCTAGGGCTGTGGCAGTAACCGGTCGGACCGGTCCAGGGACTTGTCCTTTCTCTCAAATAGATCTAATAATAATAACAACATTATTGTGCTTTATTGTGACTAAAGTGGTTCAACATTTTTCACACATGACAAAGGCCCCTGGCCCGGCGCTGTGCGGCTGTGCCGTGACGGGTCTGACCCGGCGCTGTGCGGCTGTGCCGTGACGGGTCTGACCCGGCGCTGTGCGGCTGTGCCGTGACGGGTCTGGCCCGGCGCTGTGCGGCTGTGCCGTGACGGGTCTGGCCCGGCGCTGTGTGCGGCTGTGCCGTGACGGGTCTGACCCGGCGCTGTGCGGCTGTGCCGTGACGGGTCTGGCCCGGCGCTGTGCGGCTGTGCCGTGACGGGTCTGACCCGGCGCTGTGCGGCTGTGCCGTGACGGGTCTGACCCGGCGCTGTGCGGCTGTGCCGTGACGGGTCTGGCCCGGCGCTGTGCGGCTGTGCCGTGACGGGTCTGACCCGGCGCTGTGCGGCTGTGCCGTGACGGGTCTGACCCGGCGCTGTGCGGCTGTGCCGTGACGGGTCTGACCCGGCGCTGTGCAGCTGTGCCGTGACGGGTCTGGCCCGGCGCTGTGCGGCTGTGCCGTGACGGGTCTGACCCGGCGCTGTGCGGCTGTGCCGTGACGGGTCTGGCCCGGCGCTGTGCGGCTGTGCCGTGACGGGTCGGACTGGTCCAGGAATGTCCTTTCATCAAATCCATCTATTAATAATTCCAAACAATGTTCCGCTGACGCTGCTGCTTTATTGACACAGACGACAAAAAACAAAATGGCCGCAGTAAAGGATTCAGACCTGAGTCAGACTGGCGTGAGAAGAGGGAGCAGCGTGTGCAGTCAGAGCTCTCCTCCCTCCCTCACCTCCAGCCATGAGCATGAGGTGAGGAGCTCAGTCACAAAGATGGAGCTTGGACTAGAGCTGCTGCTCCTCCATGTCAAAACACACCTTTTTAGAAAAGCATTTGAGTAATATTTATGATTACAATCTATATATTCTATTTGTTTATTAGAAAACAGCATTATTCATTTGGTGTGTGTTTGTGTAGTCAGTGTGTAGTCTGTGTGTGGTCTGTGTGTGGTCTGTGTGTAGTCCGTGTGTAGTCAGTGTGTAGTCAGTGTGTAGTCAGTGTGTAGTCAGTGTGTAGTCAGTGTGTAGTCAGTGTGTAGTCCGTGTGTAGTCCGTGTGTAGTCAGTTTGTAGTCAGTGTGTAGTCCGTGTGTAGTCAGTGTGTAGTCAGTGTGTAGTCAGTGTGTAGTCAGTGTGTAGTCAGTGTGTAGTCAGTGTGTAGTCAGTGTGTAGTCCGTGTGTAGTCCGTGTGTAGTCCGTGTGTAGTCAGTTTGTAGTCAGTGTGTAGTCCGTGTGTAGTCAGTGTGTAGTCAGTGTGTAGTCCGTGTGTAGTCAGTGTGTAGTCAGTGTGTAGTCAGTGTGTAGTCAGTGTGTAGTCAGTGTGTAGTCTGTGTGTAGTCAGTGTGTAGTCCGTGTGTAGTCCGTGTGTAGTCAGTTTGTAGTCAGTGTGTAGTCCGTGTGTAGTCAGTGTGTAGTCAGTGTGTAGTCCGTGTGTAGTCAGTGTGTAGTCAGTGTGTAGTCAGTGTGTAGTCAGTGTGTAGTCCGTGTGTAGTCAGTGTGTAGTCCGTGTGTAGTCAGTGTGTAGTCAGTGTGTAGTCTGTGTGTAGTCTGTGTGTAGTCTGTGTGTAGTCAGTGTGTAGTCCGTGTGTAGTCAGTGTGTAGTCAGTGTGTAGTCAGTGTGTAGTCAGTGTGTAGTCCGTGTGTAGTCAGTGTGTAGTCAGTGTGTAGTCAGTGTGTAGTCTGTGTGTAGTCTGTGTGTAGTTTAAAGCTTTCTGAATATGAATTAATTATAATTAATATTAATTGTATTAATAGTTGTTTTTCGCAATCATTTCAATATTTTACGTTTTATTGCATTGTTTAGTTTCTCCAGTGTTTCCTCTGAGGAGCCCCCTGCACTGGGGTCTGGCTCCTGGACCTGGGGGGGTCCTCTCTCCTCTGGGGCCTCCTCTGGGGCCTCCTCTCTCCTCTGGGGCCTCCTCTCTCCTCTGGGGCCTCCTCTGGGGCCTCCTCTCTCCTCTGGGGCCTCCTCTGGGGCCTCCTCTGGGGCCTCCTCTCTCCTCTGGGGCCTCCTCTGGGGCCTCCTCTCTCCTCTGGGGCCTCCTCTGGGGCCTCCTCTGGGGCCTCCTCTCTCCTCTGGGGCCTCCTCTGGGGCCTCCTCTCTCCTCTGGGGCCTCCTCTGGGGCCTCCTCTCTCCTCTGGGGCCTCCTCTGGGGCCTCCTCTCTCCTCTGGGGCCTCCTCTGGGGCCTCCTCTGGGGCCTCCTCTCTCCTCAGTGGTTCTCTGCTCCTTGAATGTATTTTTAAAGCTTTGTTTCTGTTCATTCTTAAGACAGACAAAGTCACTTGATAAATAACATTAACAATAATTAAATTGGTTTTATTTCTGATCATTTCCTGAGAAACACACATTTTAAACCATTACAGAAGTGTGTGACACAGAAGTGTGTGACACAGAAGTGTGTGACACAGAAGTGTGTGACACAGAAGTGTGTGACACAGAAGTGTGTGACACAGAAGTGTGTGACACAGAAGTGTGTGACACAGAAGTGTGTGACACAGAGTTGTGTGACACAGAGGTGTGTGACACAGAGGTGTGTGACACAGAGGTGTGTGACACAGAGTTGTGTGACCGGTCGGACAGGTCCAGGGACTTCTTCAAACAGAACGATTCTAATTCCAGAATACCTGCTTTGTTCTTGGTCAATACCACCTCTGGCAGCGACGACAAACTCAGCGGCAGCAGTTATGTGAGAATGTGAGAATGTGAGAATGTAGAGTTGACTTTGCCGAGGAATCGTTGAGAGATGATGAACAGTTTGTGTTGGCCTCGACTCAAGCACTTAATGAACGTCAGTCAGAGCCACGGCACTTTCTGACGACTTTCATTTGAAAGATAATACTGTTGCTTAACCCTAGAGCTGGCTCCAAGTTACTTAAGGTTAGGGTTAGAAAAGGTCAAACTCATGCTTTCGTTTAACCTGAGATTATTTTCTGGTAAAACTAGATCCGTGACTGAGTGTTTGGACTGAACCCAACCCGGGTCAAAATATTATGAAACTTAAAGACATTGCTTCCAGAAGGCGTTAAAAATTATTTTTGACAGTACGGCACGGTGGCTGAGTGGTTAGCACTCTCCCTTCTTAGCAAGAAGGTCCTGGGTTCGAATCCCTCCCTAGGCCCTAACTCTCAGCCTGGGTAGTCCTGTGATGGGAGACCTCTGGGAACACCTTCCCAGAGGTCGGAACAGTGAGGTTCTGGGTGGAGTTTGCATGTTCTCCCTGTGTCTGTTCCGGTTTCCCCTACTGCTGAAACATGCACAATAGGTCTGAATGTAATGAGAGAGTGAATGAAGGGTGTTTGGTCGGAGGCTTTGATGGACCAGTGTGTTCCAGTCGCACTTCCGTCTTCACCGTGTGTGGAATTGGAACAATATGAACTTTGTAAAGCTTTGGGTGACCTTGGTTTGTAGAATGCGCTATATAATTAAACATTACTTACTGACTAGTACATTTATTTTACCAAAAGTTAGAAAATCTCAGAGTCGTTTCATGGGCTCAGTTGTGGAACAACCTCAGCAAGAAATGAAAATTCCCCTGTGGACTAGTGTTGAAAATTAGCACCTGTGCTAAAACACTTACAGCAAAGCATCTGGTTCGTCCGGTGTTATTGTTATGTCCATATTCAATAAATAAATAAATACATAAAATATGTCATTCCTTTTGTCACAGTCTTTTCTGGAGGGATTGGAACTGAAGGATTTTGTTGAACTTGTAACTGACAAATGTGAATTTATTGAAATATGTAACTTATATTGTATCATGAGCATGCAATGGGAGCACACGTTTGACTTCTGCCCAAATAATGAACTGAAACTGAAGCTTCTCCATCTCTGCATTTGTTTTGTCTTTTTTACAGTGTAGTAGAAATGAGTTTTCTAACAAAGGCTTTGGTTTGAGTGGACACAGTGGAACTAAGTCTGGCCTCGAAGTTTGGGCTGTGACCTGGAGACCTTTTAAAATATCAATATAATGAATAATGCATTGGGTTTTTATAGTACTTACTTTTCCCTCCCTCGCTCCCTCGCTCCCTCGCTCCCTCCCTCCCTCCCTCCCTCCCTCCCTCACTCACTCACTCACTCACTCACTCACTCACTCACTCACTCACTCACTCACTCACTCACTCACTCACTCACTCACTCACTCACTCACTCACTCACTCACTCACTCACTCACTCACTCACTCACTCACTCACTCACTCACTCACTCACTCCCTCCCTCACTCACTCAATACAATGTTTATTTATTTACAGTATTTGGGTTTTAAAAGCAGGTACAATGCATATTGTATATATGAACATTTAACCAATATAAATAAGCCAGATTATAGCCAAAGGCTAATTTCCATCTGCAGACCCCCCTGGCAGGTTGATGTTAACGAAAAACATAAAAAACAACAACAAACAAGACATAATGCAAATCATGCAAAGAATACAATGTACACAAGACTATAAACAGGACATGTACAAGGACAGCTGAACACACACAGACATGCGAGACAGTTTACAACAACTGACAGAAGACTTGAGACATTGTATTTCACTGTTCCCTACTGCCCCGTTCCCTACTGCACTGCTCCCTACTGCCCTGCTCCCTACTGCCCCGTTCCCTACTGCACTGCTCCCTACTGCCCTGCTCCCTACTGCCCCGTTCCCTACTGCACTGTTCCCTACTGCACTGCTCCCTACTGCACCGTTCCCTACTGCCCCGTTCCCTACTGCACTGCTCCCTACTGCACTGCTCCCTACTGCACTGCTCCCTACTGCACTGCTCCCTACTGCACTGCTCCCTACTGCACTGCTCCCTACTGCACTGCTCCCTACTGCCCTGCTCCCTACTGCCCCGTTCCCTACTGCACTGTTCCCTACTGCACTGCTCCCTACTGCCCCGTTCCCTACTGCCCCGTTCCCTACCGCACTGCTCCCTACTGCACTGCTCCCTACTGCACTGCTCCCTACTGCACTGTTCCCTACTGCCCCGTTCCCTACTGCACTGCTCCCTACTGCACTGTTCCCTACTGCCCCGTTCCCTACTGCACTGCTCCCTACTGCACTGCTCCCTACTGCACTGTTCCCTACTGCCCCGTTCCCTACCGCACTGCTCCCTACTGCACTGCTCCCTACTCCACTGTTCCCTACTGCACGCTCCCACTGCTCCCTACTGCACTGCTCCCTACTGCACTGCTCCCTACTGCACTGCTCCCTACTGCACTGCTCCCTACTGCACTGCTCCCTACTGCACTGCTCCCTACTGCACTGCTCCCTACTGCCTGTTCCCTACTGCACTGCTCCCTACTGCACTGCTCCCTACTGCTCTGCTCCCTACTGCCCCGTTCCCTACTGCACTGCTCCCTACTGCCTGCTCCCTACTGCCTGTTCCCTACTGCACTGTTCCCTACTGCCCCGTTCCCTACTGCACTGCTCCCTACTGCCCCGTTCCCTACTGCACTGCTCCCTACTGCACTGCTCCCTACTGCACTGCTCCCTACTGCCTGCTCCCTACTGCACTGCTCCCTACTGCACTGTTCCCTACTGCACTGCTCCCTACTGCACTGTTCCTACTGCCCCGTTCCCTACTGCACTGCTCCCTACTGCCCCGTTCCCTACTGCACTGCTCCCTACTGCCCCGTTCCCACTGCACTGCTCCCTACTGCACTGCTCCCTACTGCTCTGCTCCCTACTGCTCTGCTCCCTACTGCACTGCTCCCTACTGCACTGCTCCCTACTGCACTGCTCCCTACTCCACTGCTCCCTACTGCTCTGCTCCCTACTGCCCCGTTCCCTACTGCACTGCTCCCTACTGCTCTGCTCCCTACTGCACTGCTCCCTACTCCACTGCTCCCTACTGCACTGCTCCCTACTGCACTGCTCCCTACTGCACTGCTCCCTACTGCACTGCTCCCTACTGCACTGCTCCCTACTGCACTGCTCCCTACTCCACTGCTCCCTACTCCACTGCTCCCTACTGCACTGCTCCCTACTGCACTGCTCCCTACTGCACTGCTCCCTACTGCCCTGTCCCTACTGCACTGCTCCCTACTGCACTGCTCCCTACTGCACTGCTCCCTACTGCACTGCTCCCTACTGCACTGCTCCCTACTGCACTGCTCCCTACTGCACTGCTCCCTACCCTGCCTGCTCCTACTGCCTTCCCTACTGCACTGCTCCCTACTGCTCTGCTCCCTACTGCTCTGCTCCCTACTGCACTGCTCCCTACTGCTCTGCTCCCTACTGCACTGCTCCCTACTGCACTGCTCCCTACTGCACTGCTCCTACTGCCGTCCTACTGCACTGCACTGCCTCCCTACTGCACTGCTCCCTACTGCACTGCTCCTACTCCACTGCTCCCTACTGCACTGCTCCCTACTGCCCTCCTACTGCACTGCTCCCTACTGCACTGCTCCCTACTGCTCTGCTCCCTACTGCTCTGCTCCCTACTGCTCTGCTCCCTACTGCTCTGCTCCCTACTGCACTGCTCCCTACTGCACTGTTCCCTACTGCTCTGCTCCCTACTGCTCTGCTCCCTACTGCACTGCTCCCTACTGCACTGCTCCTACCTGCTCCCTACTGCTCTGCTCCCTACTGCCTGCTCCCTACTGCACTGCTCCCTACTGCACTGCTCCCTACTGCACTGCTCCCTACTGCTCTGCTCCCTACTGCACTGCTCCCTACTGCACTGCTCCCTACTGCACTGCTCCCTACTGCTCCTACTGCCCTCCCTACACTGCTCCCTACTGCACTGTTCCCTACTGCACTGCTCCCTACTGCTCTGCTCCCTACTGCCTGTTCCCTACTGCTCGCTCCCTACTGCCCTTCCCTACTGCACTGCTCCCTACTCCACTGCTCCCTACTGCACTGCTCCCTACTGCTGCTCCCTACTCCACTGCTCCCTACTGCTCTGCTCCCTACTCCACTGCTCCCTACTGCTCTGCTCCCTACTGCTCTGCTCCCTACTGCACTGTTCCCTACTGCTCTGCTCCCTACTGCACTACTCCCTACTGCACTATGTATTGTTGTATAGCCCTAGGTCACAACAGAAGTCATCTCAGAGACTTAACAAAACCATTGAAATCACCAACACAGGTCAGAGAATCAACAGTTAAAACACATGAAGAATATAAAGCACACACAGAAGAAAATGTCCATACATGTTGTAGAATGCTAAAGTGTCCTGATCATCACCAATCCTTTCTGTTGGACACTAACTGTCCAACAAGACCCTCCTGCATCCACAAGGAACAACTCTTAAAAAACGCATTCATTCAT